TGTTTTGATTATAATAAACATGAGTTGACTTGGCGTGATTGTTTGCATTTGTTGTAATCATTACGTTATTTATTGGCTTATTCTTTGGTTGTTACAATGTTATTGTTTTAACACATTTTGATTTTGCTTTCATATCAAGCAAATTTTGATTTTTCGCTTTCTTATTTCGACTATACATATATGTATGTACATACATACATACATATGTTTGAAAGTCTGTATGTTTTAAATCAACTTTTTTTAACATTGTTTTCGCTGCTACAATCGAACGCTGCTGGCCCTGAAAATAGCACCCGATTCGCCAGTGAACTCTGTTATTGTGGTGGGTGGGAAATGTCCGTTATGCACTCTCAATGAGTTACAAATCTCACGCTTTTATCAGTGTTGACTATGCGTGTGTGTAAACGTATATATGTATGCATGCTTGTTTTTAAACTTATGTGACGTGTGAGGAAATGTTAAAATTGTTTAAAGAATTATTTTAAACTGCCAACAGCAAATTATGAAAAACCGCGAAATTCGTGTGTGAAAAAAGAAAAGGTCGAAACAATTTTATTGTTGAAAATTTATTGATCTTGTTTTGGTATTTTGCTTTTTAAATAAAAACTCACTGTTTGACTGTTTTTTAGTACCTGTGTGTATGTACATAATTCATGTGAGATAAATAATGTATGCGGGTGTGCTTAAATTGAATAAAAAAAAAATAACTTTCTTTAATATGGCATAATTTATTTTTAGAATGAATCGTTTTCATTACATAATGCTGTTACATAAAATTTCATGAAGAAATGTTTATTTGCCTTTTTTTAATTTTATGCCTGGATGTGTACAAATTTATGACAAATATTTTTTTAGTTTTTTATATACAAAATATTTTTAATTATTTATGTAAAAATAATTTTTATTAGTTTTTATAGAATTTTAAATTTTAATTATTTAGTTAGAAACATTTTTTTCCAATTTCTCATGAATATTATTTTTTAGGGAAAGATTTTTTTCTAATAGATTTTTTGTGTACAAAAAAAAAAATATTTTAATTTATTTGGTCAGAATTTTATTAATTTTTAAGGAGCAAATTTCTAACATTATTTTTTTTATGCACAAATTTATTATTTTAATTACTTAGTCAGCTTTTATTTTGTTTCTGTATGCTCAATTTTGCGATTTCAATCTTTTAGTTGGAAATTTTTAAGAACATATTGTGTTAGGGGAATTTTAAGTTTGAATTAAGTAGTAATATGCTTTTATTTTTAATTTGTTTATGTAGAAATTCAAAAATTTATTTTAATTTTTTATGTGAAAATCTAAGTTTACAAATCCAAGTTTACAAATTATAATTAGCTGACATAAATGTTTAAAATTTATATTTTTCTTAATTGTGCTGTTTTTAATAAAGAAATTAGTAAACAAAACATTTTCTGAATTCACACGATTTTCAGCAAAGCTTTTTAATCATGCCAAATAATTGTAAATGCACTTAACTCACTCTTTAACAAACATTTAATTTAGTCTGTGCTAACGGTTTTTTTTCTTAATATTTCGAATTACAATTTGTTATCAATATTCATTACACTTTGGCTCGCTTCTATTTGGCCTCAATTCACAAGTAAATATGTTTACACACAATATACACACACAATTATTATAAGTGTACATATATATATACGCTTCTGTCATTTGAACACATCATCAGCTCGGCTGAACGAACTAATTTGCATGTGTACCTATGTATATGGAAATGGAAATGTGCAATTAAATGCATTTACATATTTACATGCAAAAATACGTGCACATATTGTACATTTGTATGTACATTTTTATGTTTGTATGTATGTAAGTGCGATAGCAGCAATTAAATCAAATTTAATAAAAACTCAAGCATTGAGTAAGTCATATGTGCACAAACACCCCTACGAGTTATGTTTGCATGCACATACATACATACATATTTATGTATGTCTACATATTAGCTGGTGTGCGATTCTCCGCGTAGCAAATTGAGGAATTCCCACTAAAATTACAAATTGCACTAAAAATAAATATTTTGTAAATAAATCTATAACAAAGAAGGCGAATTCATACACTCATATACATATGTACATACATACATACTATAAATTATATATAAGAGCACAAGTTAGTGTCAGTATGCTATATGTTTTTAAATAATTCTTAGAATGTGAACTGCTTATTGATATAAATTTATTTAACAGAAATGAAAATAAATTATTTCAAGGAAAAAATAAGCGAATTAAAATGAAGTAAGTACTAAATGGCAGCAAATAATAATAACAAAATAAACTATATAAGAAATTATGCATAAAAAAATATTAATTAAAAAAATAAAAAAGCAAAAATTATTAAAAAAGGAAGTTAGGCCGCAGTAGCCGAGTGGTTAGCATTGTGTACTACCATTGGGAAGGCTCAGGTTCACATCCTCGTGTTATAGAAAATTAATTTAAGCAAAAAATTAAGCTAAATTTTCTAATTACTTGTTGGCCAAAACGGGGCTAGGTCGCCAAAAGGGTGACAGGCCTTGGCCAGATAAAATCCAAGTCAACTCCGATGAGTAGAACCAGCGTTCGTCCCTCGGGAGGGAATGGCGACCCCCCTTCGAGTGTATTTCGGACATGAAATAAAGCTCCTCATAAAAAAACCATCATCCGCTCGGAGGTGGCTTAGTATAAACTGTCCCCCCATTGTATGAAAAACCGGAAGAATCATACCACAAAATGGAGGAGGAGCGCGGCAAAACATCGTCTCAGCGGTTACAAGGAGCCATTTATATATTGTACATATGTACACATGTATGAGTATGCATATTTCATCATTAAATTTTTTGTTCAACAAATACAAATTTACACACTTAATTAACAACTAACGGTTCACTTTTAAGCGCTCAAACCGATGTAAAAGCAAATAGCGAATTAGAAAAGCATAAAACCTCTAAACCATGGCGGTACCCAGCAGACGAAAAAGAACACCAAGGGTAGGCCAATCGCCAAATGTTGACCGCCCAGGAAACTGAGTTGTCATGGAAATCATAATCAAATACACTTAAGAAGCGACAGAAGAGCAATAACGGAAACAAACGATATAAAAATGTACATATACCTAAATTTGCTTGCGAAAACAGCAAAAAAAAAAAAACAATAAAAAATTGAACATTTAAAATTCATTGCAGCCGGTCGGAGAATAAGACATACAAAATCTTGGAACAAATCAAGGAAGAAAAGCGAAATACCGTATAATAAATGTTTCGCAGAACGAAACGAAATGATTTGCCGTCGTTTCAAGCTGCTACATACCAGCAAGCCCATATACTGTCACATACATACATACATACATGCATATGTACAATATACGTATGCAAATATATACATACGTACATTTCGCCAAACAGATGTACGAGGAGCACACGTATCTTTTTAGCTTTCAGTACTTTTCGTTTAATTTAATTTTATTTTTATTTTATTATGCTGATGACTTGTACGCGCGAGTTGTTAATTGTCGCACGGCGTAAACGGCTGCGACAACAAAAACAACAACAACAAATACCAATAATTAAAACAACACTGCCCAACATCGAACGCACACACAAGCGACTAAACGAGGTGTGGACAGACAAACAGCGCCAACAAAGGCAGAAAACGGCAGTCAGCAGCCACACAGCCACTCTGCCGAGAGTTTAGTTTAGTTGCGCTGCGCTGAGTTCAGTCAATTCAGTAGACAGTGCTGCGGCATATATCCGTTTCTTACAATTCGTTTCTATCTGTGAACTGCTGCTCTTTTTGCAACTCGTGTTGTTGTTATTGACCACACTTGTGTGTTTGCGAACACACTTTTCAATGTTGATAAAAAAAAATATGTATATATGTATGTACAAATGTATATTGAAAATAAAATACAACACTGAATAAGTCATCAGCATCCGTAGGCGCACAAAAGTGGGCGTTGTTACGGGTGTTAGAGAGAGAAGCGCCAGCTAGTTTATGGGAAAATGCGTGCTTGTGGAGCAGAAATTTTGGTATGCATGCTTTTCTTAACAAAATACGGCAAACGTTTTATGGTACGCTCTTTAAATCATATGGTGATCTGGGGGTGCAGCAATGCGATAAATATTAAGCCTATTTTGTCATTACTTTGGGTAAAAAGTATTTTTGGTCTCAATTTTGAAATTTTGAAAAATGTATGTATGTATGTAGTCTTACGTTTACGTCAAAATTTCAATATAAAGTGACATCACCTTTTATAAATTTGCATTTTCAATCAAATTCACTTCGTTTCTAATTAACATAATTTCATCTAATTTGATTCACATTTTACATTTTTTTATTTAATTCAAATTTTGCGCTTTATTATTTATTATCAATTTTTCAATTACATTTCTATCCAACTTTACTTCCTGTCTTTTTTAATGTAGTTTTTTGTTATTTTTTTAATTTATTTTTAGCCTATTTTTCTATTTTATAACTCAAATCTTCCATTTTTTAACTTTACTTTTCATGTTTTTATATTTACATATACAAGTATTCTCATATTTGTGTATTTATTTCTTATTTCATTTTAATATTTGTTTTAATATTTTCCTGTTTTTTAGTTTTTATTTTTCTTAATATGATTTTTATTTTAATTTTTATTATTATTATTATTATTTTAATTTTTTTTATTTCATTTTATTTTCTTAATTGCATTTGACTTAGTTTTAATTTATTACACTTTTTAATTTTGCTTAATTTTTATTTATTTTTACTTGTATATTAATTGCCTAATTAATTAATCAATTGCCTTTGTAAAGCTTTGTACTTCAAATAAATCTCCAAACATACAATAAATACAACTCTCATAAGCGCAAACAACTATGTTTAACATACATATATATATGTATATGCACATCCAAACTCATCACAAGTGTATGAATATGTACCCAACATCATTCACTCAACTCCATTCCACTTCGCTCAGTATTCGCTGCTCGACTTCACTCTCATGGTACTCACCTTGGTAAATTCGCCAAATAGCGTGACTGTTTCTCCCGTCGCAATTCATCCGTTAGCCGGCAATATGTATTATTGATGCATACACTGCGTCGTAGATTCGTCTCTGAATCCTTGATACGCTCCAACTTGGTTGCGCACAATTGCAATATGCGTTTGCGTTCTTCACGTTGACGCAACTTTGGCGATATCATGGGGACACGCGAGCGATGATGATGATAGCCGATGGGAGAAGAACGTGGCGGTCCAAACATATCGGAATCGTCGTCACAACCATTTACTGTTGTTGTTGTGGGCAAGGTCATTTTGTTGGTTTCTTGGTTGGTTGTTACTTTAACTGCTGCTGCTGCTGCTGCTGCTACCGCTGTGTGCCTTTGGCGGCTTTGATTGCGTGTAGCTTAACACAAGTGTGTGTTATTTCACCTTCGAGTGGCGTTGTTGTTTTTTGTTTGCTTATTGCTTTGTTTTTGTGTCCACTTCTCTACTTGCTTTGACTTTTAATTGAATTTCTCGCATACAATTTTTGCTGCTGCTGCTTCTTTGGAGTTTATTTTCTCTGTATGTTTGTATGTACGACTATGTATGTTGAGCCGAGTGTGGTGAATCTGTTGTAGCGTAACGTTGTTGAGTAACGTAAAATGTGGTAATTTGCCACTAAGTCACAATGATTTTACTCTTTCGAGTAGACTTTGTAGAAACTTTTTAGGAAAGTATTTGTCATGTACATACATATAACCGTGTGAAGGGTGCTCAAGTGTCTTTTATACAATATAAGATATTTTCTAAGATTTTTTTTGTTTCATTTCTTAATTTTTTGTTGTTGTGCCTTTGCAAATGACTTTAAGCTTCATACACTTTGTAGTTTTTAATTAATCTTTTTTAATTTTATTGGCTTGTGTGCCCCTTTTCATGTTCACAGCAAACTTAAGAGCAAATCGAAATTGTTCACAGCTATTTAAGAGCGCAGAAAAACTTGTTCCACCACCTGCCTTGTTAAGCTGTAAGTCGTGTGTGCGAGTGTATGTGTGTTTTAACGTTTTTCTTTTATTTATTTTTCTTTACAGTTTTGTTTTGAATTTTCCACTGCAGTTGCGATTTGTTGTTTGTTGGTTGCTGCTGTTTTTGCTTCTGCTTCTTCTTTCACTTCTCTCTTGTTTGTTGCAAGGCAAACCACAATTTATTTCCACTTAATTATTATTTTTTTGTTATTTGTATGTGTTTTTGTTGTTTTTTTTATCTATATAATTTTCTTTGCTGCCGTCGCAACTTTATTTTTCGGTTTTGTTTTGATTTTTCGGTTGGCTGTATTTTAAGGTCTTTTATTAGATGAGTGTTTTAAGATTTTTTTACACTATTATTAATATAATGTCAATTAACAAATTTTTAATTGCAGTAGTTGACACTTGTACCGATCGCTTAGGGGATAGAAATCGTATTTTTTAGAGATTCGAAATATATTTTCACTGTCACAGTAAATGTTATTAGCTTTCTTATGATTTGCACTGTTTAAATATATATATATTTCATTAAATTATTATTAATTATCGTGCACTGTTTAAGTAAAAAATCTGTAAGCACTTTCAATTTTTCACCCTGTAAACTTACTATACATGTACATTTGAATGCTTGTTGGTTTTGTATTTGCGTATTTCAGTGCCTTGCTTAGCAGCCAATGATTAAATATATTTTTTCTACTTTACACAAGTTTAATACAACACTTTTTACTGAAAAAATTTGTTTAGTTATTCAAACTTGCATCAATGTGTTTTTGTTTTATATTATTTTTGTATAAAAAGTTTTTTTTTAATATTAATTGCAAACATTCATTAATTAAAAGACGTTGAAAATTTCAAAATAATCCACGGCCTTTTGAATTTTCATGCTTCTTTTTTTAATGTTAGCAAATGTTTGTTTTTATTCAATTTAGTTTTGTTAACTAAATGTAATCTCTTTATGTGCTGTTATGCTATTAATTAGTATGTTTTTAATTTGATTTTACTCAAAACAATTGCACCAGGCGTTTTTCGGTGTATAAACATGAATATAGAATAATTAACAAAATTTTACACAAAATGTTTGTTCTGAATAGTTTTTAATTTGCTTTTTCAAGTATTACAAATGTACGCAAAATTCGCATTTTTTTCCCACACAATTCAACGTGTTTTTGTTGTTGCTATTATTGTTATCAACGCACACAATTAATTAATTATGATTATGTTATTCAGTTACAGTCCAGCTGTTGCCATTACTACCACCGAATTACATATTCTCCTACATTTGTACATCCACTATATTGTTGCTCTATTGCTGTTGTTGTTCTGTTCTCCTGTTCAATTGCCACTGTGCTTTATATCGCCGTGAGCCTACTGTGTGTGGCTGCTATACGCTTTCAAGTGAGAGTCTCTTGTTTGCACATATATATTGTTCTTTTTGTTGTAGTAGGTAGCTAGAGCAATGCTAGGCAGTTAGCTCTAAACTTTTGTATCTGTCAGATTGCTGTTGTTTGGTGTAGGTTTTTGTGGTGAAAAAACCAAACGTTCCGCGTTTATTTGAAAGCACGTCCACACGGTTCTCACGTTCACAGTGAACTAAACAGTATTCCAACCGTCTGATGGCTGTTTGGTTCGGCTGATTGTGGCAAACCGACTGATTTCAATTGACAGACGGCAAGTAAGCAGAAGGTTGAACAGCGTACAGTGGGTAGACACATTTAACAGCAACTTTAACATAGTTGCGTTAACAGAATGACGTGACGTGCAGTAACGATGGTGCTTGTTGGATGTGTGTGAGCGCGGTGTGTGTTTGCAGTGTATTGTGACATAGTAGACAGTTTGGGGAAGGCCAATCTATTGGGAGATGCATAACAGCGGGCAAAAAAATATTTATGTTTATACATTCATAAGTATGTATATCGACTGCCTCATAACAGCGAATACGAGGTAATATAGGCAAGCAAAGTATGTAGTCAAATCAGATAAGCATACAGTCAGACATCCAACCACAAAGAGTACGAGAGCGTGCTCACGTTGCAATGTAATTTTGTGTGTACATACACATATACAATTTTACGTAGAATTGCCTACAGTTTTGTATGCTCGTGTAACAGCAGATCCAATAAAGCAGACGCCACAAGACCACAGGCAGCAGCTAGTCACTAAATTACATTACTGCTTTCCAACACCTCACTTACTCTCCACCCGCTCAAACGCTATTCAACTGCTGGGTTCAATCGTTGTAACTTATCTTTAGACATACATACATATGTATGTTTGTGGGTATGTTGGTTGTGAAAATCCAGCGGCTATACTTTTATACAAATTCGATGTGAAATCGCGTTGATGGGCGATTAGAGTAATGCCACACAAAAAACAAATTTGGTAGTAGGTAGAATAAGCGACAGCAGATTTTGTAATGTACGTATGTGTGTATGCGCGAGCATGCAAGCAAAATCAATTAAAAAACATTGAAGACACCAAACAGCGTCTGTGATGTACAAATTAAACAAGTTCTTACTTAACAACAAAAACAACGATAAGCTGCACTAAAAGGAGCATGCGAAGAGCATTAGCGAAAATCCAAAAACACTGCTGTTAAAGAGCAAACGATTATTGAGTGAGTCTTACAAAGAGAGTGCTCTGTAAATGAAAGGCATCGAACAACACACACAGTTACATACATATATCAAGCTAAGCAGGCAATTCAGTGGAGTGCAAAATTAATTGTCAGGCATAGTAAAATTTTGAATTTGAAAGCGTCCAACGTAAATTAAAAAGTAAATAAATTTATTTATGGCAAAATCAAGATTTAAAGCCGATAACTATACGCATGCCAATTTAATCGATTTTTTTTTATCGAAACTTCATGTATTTCGTGCATTTTAATTGATTTAACTTAGAGGTTAATCCCTAAGTCAGACTGTTGATTGTAGTAGGTAGCGGAGTGTGTAAAAAACATGCACTCATACATATGTATATGTATATGTAAATATTTATATACGGACTCCCCTATGCCCATTGCAAATGCACAAGTAGAAGCCAGAAAATAAAATATGCACAAGTAAAATTACTTTGCTCATTTAACGCTTGCTTTTCGCATTAAAACGTCTTTTTTCTCCTTCCTTAACAGCTGACCAGCCCGCACACATCTATGAACATACAAACGCTTAAAAGAAATATAAACCTAAATACTCGTACTTTAATTATCGATATTTAATGCATTCTTTTGTATTTATTCTTTGTAATTTGATTTTATTTTCATTATCTATTTTGTCGTCACATTAAATTTATGCGCGTCTAACTTTATACACGCCACCTCTTTGCAGACACACAGGCCTACATTCATACTTATAAATTGACGTACACATTTAGCAGTTTGGCTTTCACAGGCAGGCTGGCAATGAAATAAGAAGAGAGCAGCTAGCAAATAAAACGACGCCAGCCAGTGATGGCTTGGGCTGACTTGACTTTACTATCGCAATGTTACGTGCACACGTTTGCCCATACATTCGCACATACATATACACATATAAATAGATAAGTAAATATGTTTGCATGACGTCGCTCTCTTCTAGCAAAGCAAAGGCAATGAAACAGTTCATTAATTTTTGCAAATAAAAATGTAGACATTCTGTTACTTGTTTAGGCATAAGCGCTTTTACATACATATCTACATACATACACACATAAACACATGCCTATGTACATGTATACATACATAAAAAAACAAAAATTTGTTGATAAGTTTGTTTGTATCTCTCACTTAGGTCAATGCTTTGCTGGGCGGCAGAGATGTTGAGGGACAATTTTGAGAGGGCATTAACTTAACATTGCTGTTGTTGCAATTTAGTTTAATATATATACATACATACATATGTATGTACGTAAACGTAGGTTTTAGCGGTCAAACACATACATAGGTTGATGAATATTCATGGGTACATCTATCTACATATACATATGTATGTACATATGTATGTGCCTATACAGGAGTTCATATAAATATACAAACATACGTTACTCTACCTGTCTGTTGTTAGTGGCCGTTATTGACATTAGCTGAATGGGTTGTTTGATATTTGGGGGTCAAATAGCTCAGACAAAAGTGCATACATACATACACGTATGTATCTGTACAACAAAGTTAGAGTGTGTAGTAGCTCAAATCAAATGCGATTTTTGCAAGTTGGCTCTGTGAGCAATGCTTAAGCTGGCTTGATTGTTCGAAAGACTACGCGCCCTCGGCTTTACTTTTAAAGAGAGGTACCGCTCCCTATGTCTTTCTTGGCTTCTGAGTCGTTGAATACTCAATATTCGAGGTTTGCGCTTACAGAGCTATACCAAGTGCTTTGGAAGCGTTGGGATAAGTAATCTCGAACGATACTTCAGTTAAAGAGTTAAGAACTTACTCTGATAACCAAAGTACTACCAATGACTCATACATATTAGATGCGCATTGCACTAGTTAAGTATTGTAACATTTTATCAATACAATACAATGTTTCAATTTCATAAGCGGGAAAATTGGGAGAAACACTCAAGATCCTGCAACTTCTTCTCTGGGGTAACCAAGCTCTGGGCAGCAGTAAAATCAATGTCAAGTCCACCAAGACGTGATGACCGGGTGGAAATCTCAATCGTGCGCCACGATTCATGAGGTCATCGGGAATGCGAAATCCATCGGCGCCAACGGAATAAGCAATCTGATGCTAAAAAACCTAGAACCAGCGGACAGGTGGGAAATGGGTAGAGCAGTCCCGCTAATCAACCCGGGGAAACCAGCCAACAAAGGAGAGTCCTATCGGATATATCGCCGATATATCTCTCCAGTAGCGAAGAGTCTTGGGACCTTGCAGCTCCCAACTTTCACACATCATCTGAATCCAGCAGCACATCAGCCTGGATTCCACAAAGTGCACTGCACCACAACTGCACTTAACGCCATATTCCAAATCTTCTACCACCACATTTTCCTTCGACTTGTGCCTTTTCTATTATTTGAATCGTTCATCTCATTAAATTTATGTTATTAAAATTTCATTTGGTCACTTATTTTGTTGGTGTATCATCCAAATTAATGTGAAATTAAGGCTTCGAATATACATATGCCATGGCAGTAAAAGATCTAGACACCACAAATCAGAACAAAAGACCGAGACGTCCTCTTGTGTGGTTATAAAAGGTAATATTTTTCATATATTCATATATTCGGCGCGGCGTATTTAATATTTATACAACTGAGGCCCAACCGTTGGAGACCCTTATGCTACCGATTTCATATACATATATAAAAGAACGATAACTATACCCTTTTGACTGTGGTTTGTGGTTCTAGATGGGATGAAAGGAGTCGTTCGTCAGCCTATCGTAGGCGGCTTAGAGCAAACTGTAAGTCCCTTGATTTGCCGTTGACGCACACCACAACTTGAAGGAGAAGCTCGGCTGAAAATCACTTCAGTCGTTAGTTAGTTAGTTTATCAGGTTGCTTGATCCCGAAATCTTGATCAAGCGCATTTAGGCCTATTGGCCCTCGTGATGCCTATTTTGGGCCTGCTAAACCTTTCTAAATGTTCAAACCACTTGGTATGTTTTCTGAAATTCAGAGGATTGATGACGCCAACCGGTACAAGCTCTGCAAGGCAATCGAAGAAATTCCCGATAAAGCGATAACAGACGGCACTGAGAAGAATTAGTGTTTCATCGTTCCATCCTCATCTATGTCTTTGCATTTGCGGCAGCAGCCCTCCTACTATCA